ACAAAGCAGGTGGTCGCCCTAGGATTAGTCGGCTCGCATAGCGGGTTGGATATTCAGTTTAATAAAAAAAAATATTGTGATAACATATGATTAGTGTGTGTATATATATATATATATATTATTTAGCGTAAGAGAATATATTATTTAATGTAATCTTGTTCTTTTGTATTTTTTTCTTTATTTTAGTGTTTTAAGATTTCCCCTTTGGTTTTCAATTGTAATTATGTTTTGACTGGAAAAATAAGGAGATGGCTTCATGTGCTCTAAGTCATTATGTGGATTCGGATTCAGGAAGACTATCAAAGTTTTTCAAGGGAGGTCATCTTGACGTTGGTCTGCCTCTGGCCTAGATTAACCTAAGTGAAATAAAGTCTTTATCGCTCTACTTAAAAATCAAATATGAATGTATGGAGTGATTTCAACAATTCTCACAATTTTTAGTATTTTTCAAGTTTTGATTTATTTAATTAAATGTGGTAGGGAGTGATTTCTTATCTACTTGTGTGAGTGTATGTATGTATGTATGTATGGAATTTTAAGAAAAAGTAGGCGAATTGTTTAAAAACAGGACAATAAGACACATGTAAAGAACAAATGAAGGAGAAGCTTAATTAATTAAGCATAATAGAATAAGCACACATCTCAAAGATTGCCAGCTTCAAAATCTGCATTAGGTAATTGTTGAGGAACACGAAACACACCAAGTGGTGGTGACCCATTTTTTGGGTTTTGAAATTAAGCAACTTAATTTTAATCAAGTAATTAATCTAAGACCATTAAGATCTACAAGAAAAATTAGAGGTTTAACTTGTGATTTACATATATGTTTTTGGTGTGTTCACTTCATACTCGTTGCTCTATACTGACATCGAAGGGGTATTGTTTGTTTTTATTCAGATTAACATAGATTTACATGATGACTTAGGGCGGTAAGCACTTACCGGGCAAGATTTTATTCACTAAAACGTATCTTATGCAACAATTTATCCCGGTAAGCGCTAACCATGGTAAGAGTCCTCGTCTTCATTTACTGGGTAAAACTCGAGATTCTTGTCTTCGCTCTTACCAGGTAAGATTCTTAGTCCTTGCCATATTCATCCGATAAAGTAAAGTGACTTGATAAGCACTTACCCGGGTAAGCGTTTGGTAAACGGCATCTTATTTAATTTAATCATTGTTTGAAAGTTAGGAAAAAAAAAAGATACTATTTTTTATTGTTCTATGAATTAGTTGTCAAGCTAATTAAGCAAAACTTGAAGTGACCATAAGTTATCTATATGAAAACATGATAACGTTTGGATAGATATAGCAAACCATAACCATCGATCTGATTGTAATGACAAACATAATGTTACATACCGACTTACATTTATATATAGATGTTAAATATAGCCTTTATTTTATTCAATCTTGACGCTTATAGTTGTTTTTGCAGGTTGTTGTTGTTGATAAATGGTTGATTTTGTTATATGTTGTAATCTGAGTAGCCGGCTTGTAGATGTCAAGAAGTTCGAGGGTTGCGGCGCATTGCTTGATAAATTGGAGGATCAATCTTGACAATACTGGATTTATATTTATTTGAGCGGGTAACTGGGTTCATTTAAGAATCGTCATTCTGCCTCTTCAGTTTTACTAGATTGCTCTCGATATAAGTTTGTACCTGAGAGAGTTCTAGGGTTTTCTCTTTGTTATCAAATCACTTTAGATTTGTAAGCTTGTACAATAGAGTCAGGTTTATACGAAAGTAACAACTAAAAAGATAACACGAAAACAACTGAATTAAATGTGATTCATGCGACTTTGGCCGCGACCTAAGGTTGCGGGCCAGGTCTTATGCTCACCCTTGCATTGACCATGTTCCTCGCAATCGCATGTAAAATAACATCTGATTTACAAGTAATTTGGGCGTTTTCTTGTTCTCCTATTTTGACCATGTTATTGTTTGATTCTCTCTCATTACATATATATGTGTGTATACATGTGTATACGTCAACGTTTATACACAGACAAATCATTCTGCTCATTTCTTGCATAAAGGCATATACTTACGTTCCTTTTGGTAGCGTTTGGTATGTAAACACGATTGAAATAGAAATGATTGAACTTGACAAGACTGGATAAGACGAGTAGGCATGGACAGATAAGACAAGACTGGACAAGACGAGTAAGCATGGACAGACAAGATAAGACTGGATTAGACTGGATAAGACAAGTTGTATGTCTAGTATCAAATATACGGCTAGGACTGGATATGACAACACTAGACAAGTTGCCCCTAAAAATTCTTTGTTGATTTTATATATCATATAATAGTTATAAATGACACAAATCAAGTAAACATTTAAATAATATAACTTATAAACATTTATACACAATTTTTATAGACATAAATACATACATATATAATAGTACCAAATTTGGATGAAATTTTTGATATAATTGATGGTAGTTTTAAAAAATTTGGTTCACACAAAAAAAAACTATGTTTTATACGGTTTAGGAAGATCCTTGTGAACTAGCAGAGATACGTTGGAGGTTGTTGTAGCAACAATGGTGGAGGTAGAGGCGATGATGATTGGTGGATGACAAATATGGAAGATGTGATAATAGTGGACGATAATGGTGGTGACGTCAACAGTGGTGGAGGAAGTAGTTGTGGCTGATGTGGTGGAGGTAGAATTGATGATTGTCAATGGTTATGGTAACCGATGTGGTGGTGGTGGTGGACAACGTTGACTTTGGAGGAAGTAAAGATGGTTCACAAGAGGCGTAGTGGAGGTTGTTGCAACGATAATTATGGTGGAGATACAGATGGTAGTGGTTGGTCGACGCCAGTGATTATGGATGATATAAAGATAGTGGACAGTGGTAGTGGTTGTCGTCGCAATGGTATAGGAGGTAGTTATGGTCGACATGTTGATGGTGGTGGTGGCGGTTGATGATGGTGGTAGTGGTTGTTATGGTGGAGGTGGCCATGGTGGTTGGCGGTGGCCGTTGGTGATAGTGGCAGCCGCGACAATAGACGGTGTTGACTATTAAAACAAATGTCATATTTGGATTATATCAAATTAAGGCAAATTAGTAATTTTTCATTTCCATCTCATTTTTGTGATCCATCTTGTTCCATCTATTTGGTGGAACAAAAAAAGGCTTTTTTTTTATCCCAACCAGTAGTTATGTCTCATGTCATGCCAAACAAGAAACCCTGAGTTTTTCCTTTCCGTGCCACCGTGTCCCATATACCAAATGCAACATTTGATGGTTGCTGCAAGCTACAATAAGCATTCACATATGCATATTAATTAAAATGAAACGATATCGTATTCACATATGCATATTAATTAAAGTGAAACGATATCGTATTCACATATGCATATTAATTAAAATGAAACGACATCGTTTTATGAGAATGAAGATAGGTGGTATTAATGAATGTTAATTGTTACCAAGGGCCGCAGCGGTATTATTCGATCTCTTGACATAATTCCAAAAGGGTAAACGCTAATAAACGTCACCAAGTAATTAATTGATGGCCTTTTGAGGGTTTGTAGGGTTTATTTATTAGTTACTTAAGTAAGAAGTGTTTGGTCATAGCCTCGAAACAAGCCCTAATTTCATGGCCGGCTCTTGTATTCATGGGAATTTGCAGGCACGGTATTTGGGACCTCACGTGAGGCTTTGACTGTTATTTTGATTCAATTCTTTTAACACAAACCCAATTTACTGGAATATGTTGCTGCCACAATGCTTCACACTTACCAATATTCATTCATAGACGGACCAAGAAGGGTGGTTAGGTGGTACGTGCCACCATATTGTTTCTTCGTGATAAGATAAAGAAAATTAGGTTCGTGAAATGTGCAAATGTTTTATATGGTGCCACCGTATCCAAAAATTCTTGGATCCGTCCCTATATTCATCTAAAATCAATATTTTTTTCTAATTATGTTACCATTTAAATTATAATAATATGATGAAAATATAATTAGTTGAACAAATAGATGGGTTTCTACGTTAAAGGTTAGAGTTGATGCTCATGTGGGCATATTAAAAGTTTGATTCAAAAGCCCTAATTCTTTTTGAGCTAATAATCTTGAAAAACTCTATGTATCAACTTGAATATTTATGATTAGCTTCAATTTCTTGTACATTTGCATATTGATCTTAATCAACAGGGTTTTGAAAACATAAATAAACGTGGGTTTTTAACGTTTAGACGGTATGATGGTGATGCATGATGGTCTCGGGTGGGGTAGCTAGGATTGATGTAGCGGTGTTTTATGGTGTTTGGTGGTGGGGCTAGTTGTGAGTGTACGTTCAAGAATCTTATCTTCTTTTAACAAAACAAACAAAAAATGTTATCGATAAAATTATCTTCAATTTAGAATATGAGATATATATATATATATATATATATATATATATATATAAACCAACTTAAAATAAGTTTTCATTAGACAATTATATAGGTTTGGGGTTGTTTCGATTCTATATTTTCGTTAGTTTTACTTTTTATTACTACATTTCGTAGTTTTCATATTTCATGATAATCTTTCCGTTTTACTCATGATTCTTTTTTATACAAGTTATCATTCTTACAAAAAACAACGTACATATATATGATAAATATATATATATAAGAATGAACGATTTTCACAAAAAAGTATTATGTAATACGATTATTTTCGTAGTTATGTATATTAGCAGTAAAAATACAAGTGTTTTTGGGCACTTCACAATAATTGTGTTTCTTTACAATATAAAAAACTCAATCTATAATTATTGAGAAAGTTTTATATGGATAGATAATAAGAAGAACAGGAAACAAATAATAAATAAGCTCATGGTAAACAAGACGAAGAAAGTCTTAAATTATGGATTGATGCTACCTCATTCAGGTCATTCCCGACCCACCATGTCTGTAGGTGATGCCAACACCCACCCTCTTAAGAAGATGACTTGTACACCCAATATAGCTACAAGTATTTTATACATTTAATACTGCATCTTTACCCTTTCATGTCTCCCCACCTCCTATATAAACAAACCCATCCATCATGTTCTACCATAATATTCCAACACACCTTGCAGAACAACAGAAATCCCATTCATCCATACATCTCTCTTTATCTTTAAAATCAGTTTGTTTTGTCTCTAAAGATCCGTTGTCAGGTTCAGAGTGTCGTCTGGTTCATTGTCTCTGAAGAGATATATATCATGAAGTTGATGATGGGAAGCTCCAAGAGAAGGATTTCAAGCAAAGGACTTGGAGGAGTCCTTAAAGAGCATAAAGCAAGGCTTTACATTATCAAGAGATGTGTTGTCATGCTTCTATGCTACCATGATTGATTCACTCTAGACCTGCTAGATAGCTAGCTTCAATGGCTGGCTAGCTAGCTCCATCAAGTGGTTTTTTCCAGTTAGTTCAACAGGATGATGATGATCTGTAAATAGAAATTATATGCATGGCTTAAAAGAGCTCAACAATTTTGTAACTCTATATGTTGGCGTTTAATATAACTTCAATGTATGTTAGATCCATCAGTTCTTTTATTTTTTTCCCATATGATTTTGGGAACTAGCTAATTAATTAATTAGTTTAATATATTTATCAAAAAATCCAACCCTCTTAAAAGTTCTTTGTTTCCTTCTCTCCATCTCTTCACTAGGGTTTGAATCTTTTTTCAATCTTATTTCAGATTTCTGGCTGATTCATACAATCTTTTTGAACTCATTGGCTTAATTATAACATTCTTTTAGATCAGTTACTGTATCACAAACAGATTTACCTCAAGGCTATATGTGAAGCCTACAATCGCGACTTGCCATGAGATTTGTCTGAATAATTTAGCCTAAGATCACTCATCTTCAAAAAGACAATCTTGTAGATCTCGGATCAAATCATATTCCAGAAATGAAACACATGTTTTTTTGTAATTCATCTTAATTTTTAAGTGTGTGCTTAGGAATATCATATACTCTAGGTTATCTGAGCTTCATCGACATTTACATGCGTATCTAGGATCGTTAATTAGTTGCTCGAGTGTTGTTTCATTGTGAAATGAAATTAAGTTGAGGAGGTTTATGTTAAACATCACAAACCAAACTCTAATTGTGATTACGATAAGAAATGTTACGATTGTGAGCCTACAAATTGTTTATATTTAGATATGGTTTAATTGCTTGACGTTTTTCTGGGTATAAATATTGGCTTTTGAAACCATAATATATAGATCTTCTCAAGATCAAATAAAGAACTGTTTTGGATTTGGAGAGAGTGAAAATGGTTGCAATTAATTAATTAAATATTCAGGAGAATTAAAGAAGAAGTAGTGCAAAAGATGTTGGAGTTATATTAATAAAGTTTAGTTCGTTAAGTAACAATTAAAAAAGGAAATCAATTTTTTATGAATATAATGAAATATTGGATAAATTTTATATAATTTAACTTAATATTTTATATATATATATATATATATATATATATATATAAGATTGGGTTCACGTGAGACCAAAGGTTTTTCGTGAGACCTGTAAGACCAATTTATGTTCATTGATCAACTTTATAAGATAATGATCTAATGGTCTAAAATTGCACGGTGATAATTTTGTGATTATTGAGAAGTCTTGTGATAATTTTGTGATAATGAATGTTCAAATTGTAGATCTAATCCAAGAGTTAAGAATTGGTCTTACAGGTCTCACGAAAACCCTTGATCTTACATGATCCCAAATATATATATATATATATATATATATATTCATGTTTCAAATGAGAACTGTAACAAAATAAACGAAAACAATATGACGATCAAATCACGTTAGATTCTACACTAAAATCACATATGTTTCACATGACTTAATTTCCCGCTCACCCCTGCATTGAACGTATTCTGTAATCAGATATAATTTTACCATTTTTTGTGTTTTTTTATTTGAATATATGCGTTGCTTAGTCTCGACTCTGGATCGATTCATTTATTTGACGTTAAATTAAGTTTTTCATAAACTTCTTCTACAATATCAAATAATCGCACCATATATATTCCGTCGTAATATTTTCTATTTTACACTATTTTTATGTTTTATTAACATAATAAATAAACTAAGGATAAATTTATAATATTAATTTGCTTTTATTTTCATTAAAAGATATATAAGTGGAATTGATGATTGCTAAAAAGATGTATAATAAGGAGTAAATATAGCCAAAAGGTTAGGATTTGTGGATGAATGATTTGAAGTGGTGTAGTTGGTGCCACCTTTATGCACTCTTTTGGTCAAACCAAATTAGTTGCCACTCTTTTCTCCCTTTCCATCATGTATCAATTGACTACTATTTGTAATTATTTTAGTAGTACGTATGAAAATAGGAAGACGTTATCTTATGTAATCATAATCCTTACAACTACAGTGGATTTTCTGAAAGATAAGGTCAATATAACCATATATGATTTTAATATAAAATACCAAATATTTTCGTATTTACTCGGGATAGAAAAGGAGTTATAGTTACACATTCTAAAACCAGTTAGGTGTATCAAGTGCACGATTGTACGAGCTCGCTTAAACTTTAGAGCATCATATAGCTCGGGTGGTTAAGGGGCCGGGACGTGCCCTTTTGCGTGGTTTCGGGCACTTACAATGTATTTGAAAGAGTTACACCGGAATGGTTGTCTTAGAAAATGAAGTCTAATTTTCGAGTAGGTACTCGAGTTTTTGCCTAAAACCATGAGTGAAAATTTGGATTATCCCGATACAGATTTCGTGATATCATAAGTTCGGTGGGTAGGAAATTAATGTATAAAAATGAATCAAGGCCAAAATTTGGAAGTTGGAAGAATATGAATGCAGGAGGAAAAGTGAAGGATGTGATTTTGTTGTCTTGAACCAAATACCCAAGAATCCTTAGTTGTTTCCAACCAAATTGACAAATTAATTAATTAACCAACTAATAATTGAATATATATATATATATATATATATATATATATATATATATATGCTTCCAAACAACACCTTAATCAATCAAAATAGTTAATCTAATTGTGGTCAAAACCAAATTAGCTCATAATTACGTCCCCATTGCATTATTGTCCTCCAACCAACATATCACGTGTAATGGGTCATGGTCGAATATAGAAGATTTGACACTCCATCTTCATTTCCCATAATTTTATTACATTCATTAATGGGGCCGTTTGACGGTTGTAGAATGGTTGGATGCAAAATGATTAAGAATCTTTCATGATATAGTGTAAAATAAAATATAATCGTCTGATAATTGTTTACAATGAAATTAGGGCGCTGAATAGTTAAGGGAGACACATGATACAAAATCATTCAGAAGGTTTTGGAACCATTAAGAGACAAACTTTTTCTTACGAAACAAAATTCACCTCTTAACGATTTAGAAATATATGTGTATCATGATATTCTTAGTGTGATACTTATCTTATTATCCTCAATTATAGACGAAGTTAAGGTTAGGCGTCTTTTCATTTCTCCATCTTTTTAGGCGTTGTAGGTAATGAATGTCAAGATGACCAATTTCCCATTCTACTTATTAGATCAACGACTCAAATACTTCAAATGTAATTAAGATATTATATGTCACTTGATGATTATTTTGATTAATCAATCGTACGATAAATTAATAATTACACTGATCAACTGTTCAACATATGATGATCTTTAATTGATCAAGAAATAAGTTAAATGAACCGATCCAGCATTATCATTATGAAAATAACATCTCAACTATATCAATAAAATCATCGTACTTCATGAGTGATAATATCAACAACATAATCTCAAATCAATAATTAAATGATGTATCTTGACGAACAATTGAATCTTAGTGACTACATTCATTTCACTATAGTACATAACCACATCGAACCCTTTTTCTTTTTTTATGAAAAAAACTAATGACCCCACAATGATAATTCTTAAAATTGTATGATTAATCCCTTTATCATCAGATCATCAATCAGGTACCAAATTAGTAATAACTATATATCTTTTTACAAAATCTAAATGGATCTTATTTTTTTTAAAGACTATTCATATATGTATTTCTTTTAATTTCTTCTAGTTCTATCTATTCCTTTCAAATGCGGTGATTCCAGACTATCTGCAAAGCAGGTGGTCGTTCTAGAATTAGTCGGGTCGCATAGCGGGTTGGATATACAGGTTAATAAAAAAAATAGCAAAACTAAAGTTCACCGTTTAATAATTAATAAATTTATTAAAGTCAATATGTAGGTATGCATGTATATATTTCTATACATGTGTATTATAATTCATAGAAGATAACATATAAAAGGTTGTTTGCATCAACAAGAGGGTTTTTTTTTTTTTTAGTTAAAACCCATTAAAATATATATGGAATTGAACCTTCGATCAATAAGAAAATCTCCAAAAACCTATTTGATATTGATGACAAAAAATTGATCAGCATATTCAATGTCTTGTGAGTTACCTCAAAAAATAGTCGGAGTCTTGGAGTTTAAAATCGTAATTCTCCAAGATATGAGGGTAATTTAAAATTTCCGTCATATATAATATGTTAGTGACGAGATGTAATATAAGAGATTAAGATGATGAATAAAGTTACACGTCAACCTAGAATAGTCGATTTTTATGGTTAAAATATGAACGAACCGAAACTTTTAATGTTGCAAATACTTCAAGATATGTATGAGGTTTACTACCTACAAATTGAAATATATACTTTAACCTTTGAAATCTTTTGACGACAAAGAAAATCATTAGAATACTTTTTGGCAATGAGTTCATCTTTTGTAACAACCGGCTAACTCTCGTACACACGCATTTTAGACCATGCCAAACAAATTATAAACCATCACCCCGTCTATGCATGTCTGAAATCATCAGATATAGACCAATGCAAGCATTTTCAAAGGTTCTTACTCTTGCATCACTTTAGACTATGCAAGTTAAAAGAACTTGCATGGGAACCTTGCCGTTTTACACATTTGGTCTATGATTCTATTGATCTATACTATGATCAAGAAATTGAACGCTAGACGCACAATTGATTAATTAAATTGACCCACTTAATCAACATGTGTGATAACTTTTAGTCAGTCAAACAATATAAATATTAACTGATCAAACATCATTGTCATCAAGTAAGGATGTACTTTGCTGAATAAATCCATTATCCAATAACTCTTTTTGTTGTACCATTAATTCATTTATCACTTTTGTGGTCACATGGAAAGTGATCTTGTTACTGAGATGCCTCATGTTTATCATAGTAGAAAAAGTCTTTTGTCCATATGGAGGAAACAAACAGATATCTTTAAAAAAATTAAAGCAGCATATTCTTTTACTATCAGTATTTCGTCAACTTTCATCTCATCCTTTCTTGTACCAACGACACGAGTTATCACTTACGGGATTTTCTTAAATGTCTCTTTACATGAGCTATAAATAAAAACACCATATTACTTGATTGAGCCCTTAATTTTTACTTTATGTTTAGGGCTAATCTATGTCTACTTTGA